GTGCGTCCGGCTACGAAGTCGTAGCTTCAGTCCCTTGCGGTGGAAGTGGCGACGGAAGCTCGGCCGGAGACGGTTGGGATCGAGATGAACCAGACGGGAAACACTGAACTGAACCCTTACGTTACACAGAGGTCAAAGGTAAAGCCACACATTATTTACTCGGAAATGTGTAATTAATGTAAATTTTTGGTCCGTCTTGTGGAGGTTAGTTAATTAGTTGAATTTTGGTCTTAGAATCTGACAATAAATCAGGAAATGAAAAATGCAAGCATGTTTTAACATTATGATTCTGAACTTTTCCTCTTGGATTCTTGGAGCCGAAATGATAATGTATTGAGAAGTTAAAATTTTGAAGGGTTTTGAAAGTTTCAGAGATTGTCTCCTGGGAAGGTGACACGGGGGCTGGAATGAGGGTGGGATTTTCAAACAAATTGGTACTTGAAAGTTGAAAATTAATGTTGCATTATGGTTTTCTGTACATTTGACGTGTCAATTCCCGGTGGTCCAAGTTCCGATCTGGTCCATGGTGACTGGTCAGAGCGTCAAAGTATGTTTAATGGGGTGGGTTGGCCGAGGTGGTCCTCCTCCTCCACCGACTTCCGGCCCCGTAGGTTAGGTCCGTTCCACTCAACGGTGGTTGCCGCCCAGATGTCATTGTATGTGGACACTTCTAATTGTGACGTGGATGGATTCCTATAAATGGGTGTTTATTTAAGGGTTTCTGGCGACGTTTTTTTAATCTATTTTTATTGAAATCTTTTAAGTATTTGACATTTAGACGTTTTTTAAATTATATAAAAAATTTGGAAATAGAAGAGAAAAAGATTTTATGGTTTTTTATGTGCTCTAACAAAATCAAAGTTCACTTTTTTTTTATTATAAAAATGCTGAGGCTTTATAAGTGATTATGAATTTAGATATCATAGGACAAGTTGATTGGATGGTTAATAATAATTTATCATAAATCCATACAATAAGAAGATGAATAGATCAAAACACTTTCTTTAAGATTGGTACGAATCTTATCAATAATGTGTTTGTTTATAATTATTTAAAAAATATAATAGAAATTATTTTAGAGTGTATGTAGTGTGTGTATTTATATATTTTATATTTGAGTGTTTTAGATGGCTAAAATTACACTTAAAAATATATAATGTTTGATGATAAATAATAACATATTTTTAAAAATTTTATTGTTTAAATTTCTTTCTTTTTCGTTTTGTTGATAAAAGTTTGATTGACGATTATCCAAAAAAATGATTTTTTTTGGCGCTATAGATGATTACTAAAAGAAAGTGGAAGAAAAAAAAAAGTAAAAATGTATCAAACTCTTTTTTTTTATTAGTACATTGATAGACTCTTTAGAGATCATAATTATTTGCACTTTTGTTATGAAACAACTCAATTTAAGATGGTGCCCATCACCCAATTTTCTAGTATACCCTTTGTATCTATGCTTCAATATTAATTAACTTTTAAAATCTAAAATTAGTAAATTGGGAGGTTACCATTTAAATCCTTCAAATTTTGTCTAATTAAGACTTTCCAAAAGTAAAAAATACCAAATCCCAAAATACGAATCAAATTTCCAAAATCTTCCATAATTGAAAAAATTTGAAAACCCCTCCTTCTCCGATTTTGCTTCTTCCTCTCTTGTTCGAAGACTGCTTCATTCCGACTGTCTACGCTCCTCCGTTCCGACCGTCTACGCTCCTCCGTTCCGGTCGTCTACGCTCCTTCGTCTTCGGCCATCTGTGTTTCTTCATCTCCGGTCGTCTGTGCTCATTCTCTCAGACTTTTCTTCTTCGTCTTCGACCGTCTGTGTTCCTCCATCTCCGACTTCGTCAACGTTCTTCGTCTCTGGTCGTCGTCTCCATTATTCTTCATCGTCGGAGTAGTCCTATATTCTTCCTCTCTTGTTC